CACACACACACACACACACACACACACACACACACACACACACACACACACACACACACACACACACACACACACACACACACACACACACACAGAGGTACACACACACACACACACACACACACACACACACACACACACACACACACACACACACACACACACACACACACACACACACACACACACACACAATAAAACTGTCACACTTGAGTCACTCCTGAATGGGTTTAACTGTTGTCTCCAGGTGCTGGATGTCTGAGTCAGGTGTTGTCCTCCACTCAGCTGTTCTCAGCGTCTCTGACTCACCTCGACCTGTCTGCTAACCCCGGCAGCATGGGCAACGAGGAGGCCACGGTACTGTGTGTGTGTGTTTGTGTGTGTGTGTGTGTGTGTTTCATATCAAATAATGTGGATTCAAGACAGCTATTTTTACATACAAACAAGCCAATGTCATACACATAAATTACATATACTGATACATGAAACTCTCACTAGAAGATTTGGGAGGTCTGCATTTATTATTCACTTTTACAAACAAGCTACAAACTCAACCTACCTGTAAAGTGTACAGTTGAAAGATAATATCATTTTAATTAGAAAAACAATAAAAGATAGGTAGACTGTTAAAATGGACTGAAAGTTGGTTTATGTGCAGAGCTAGAACTTCTATATATCCCTTTTAACAACGACTTTACTTTCAGCAACATGTTAACTGTGCCGGTATATCTGTAACAAATACAGATCTGCATTATGTGTTGCAGTTTCTCTTCAAGTTCCTGTCCAGTACTAACTCTCTGTCTCATCTGGACCTCAGTGATACCAGCTGCCCTCTGGACACGGTCAGCGAGAGATGCTCAGTGTTGTACCTGCTTCTTTCATGCGACTATTTCTGAGGGCCCCGATGTCTGTGCTGTTAACTGTTCATGTAACTGTTGTTATTCATTGATCTGTTGTGTGTGCCAGGTACATAACACTCATTGTAATTTTCTCCTGCAGTTATTTGTTTCGCTGTCTGCTGGATGCTGTTTCAAACTGATGCACCTCAACCTGGCCAGGAATCCTTTCAGCCACAGGTCAGCTCCTCTAGAATCAGGCCCTGAATGTGGTATCCTCTCTGCATTATTGAGACACAGAGAGGTCAACACAACTTCCCTGATAAGACTCATAACAACTATCCTGGAACAGCAACTGACCTGATATGTAAATGAGCCAGCTGCTATGATCCACTAAAGCTAAATGTGATGATTTGTTTTTTAAAAAACGTTTATGTGTGTAGTTGTGTGTATGGGTTTGTCTTTATGAAATTGTGGGGCTCAACATATGTTAGCACAATCACAGCGCAGGGTCCAAAATCTTAAAGGGGACCAAAAGCCTGGACCCCATAAAAATAACCGTGTGTGTGTGTGTGTGTGTGTGTGTGTGTGTGTGTGTGTGTGTGTGTGTGTGTGTTTGTGTGTGTGTGTGCAGATGAGATCTCTAAGCTGCTGAATCCTCACAGAGTGTGTCTAGTGACTCCTGTCATCCTCCATCCCCCCGCTCAGACATGTGGGAGGTCGGCCCGCAGGTTTGTGGTGAGTGATGGACACTAAAGATGTTCTTTGTAATATTAAGTATATTGTGCTTATAGATGTATGTATGTTTAGAAATGTTGTATTTTCTTTTTACTTTCATTTAAAAATGACAAAGCTCTATTTTTCCCGGGGAAAATAAAATTTTCTGAATCCGATGATGTGATGAAAGGAAGTGTTGCATATCCTTGAGTTTCAGATCATTTTGTTGCATACAAAGTGTATCCTGCCCTTAGATTCCTGAACCATTCATTGTTCACTGTCACTTAGTTTGAGGCATTTTGTTCATTTTTATCTGGGAATATGTAGCTATAAAGAGCTAAACTTAAATGAGTTATGTTGACACCTGCACAATCAACAAATATCGCACAACTCACCAACTAAAACACATTTTCCACTGTACAGCATATCCAACACAACATGCAACAACCTCTGTAGTTCCAGAGGGGGGGCTGTGGTTCTGTCAGTCCCATTTCTAACGTCCTGTTTCTCTCATCAGGTTCTGAGTCTGTGGAGAGGTTACCTGTTTAACAACAAGCCACCTGTCAGGGTAAATCACAGCTGTTCCATTTTACACCACAGCTACACTCGATTGCACATTTTATAATTAATAAGGTTTTATTTTTCTCACTGCTTTTCACCATGCACTGCTCATTGTGAACCCTTGCAGGCCACAGTGTGAGTTTTCTAGTGGCAGGAGTTTCTTTTTTTAAGGACTATTATCTTATGTTGACTTTTACGTGGAATACTTTTACATCTTCAAGCCTCCAACAGTTACTCAAATGACACATATCGGACGTTTTAAAATTTAGGGAGTTATTTTAAAAGTAATATAAAATGCAGCAGGTTTTTATTTTATCTAATTTCATTTTTCGCCACCACAATTTAATGGATGAGGATAGATTTTCGTTCCTGGTACTCACTGTCTCAAAGAGAAACTGCTGTTGAATGATTTTTTTCTCATTTACTTCTGTGTGCGTGCTTGAATGTGTACAGATGGAGAGCACCTTCAGCTACTTGGAGATTTGCTCCATCAACATTCACAGTCTCACTCAGGTACACTATCATTTATTTCTATCTGAACTATACTTGTTTAACATTTGTTTATATGTATATCTATGTGTTATCCACTGAAGCACTGGATTCCATGTTAAACAGCAAAGGTTAATATGAGAGCAGTTTACAGTCGTCATTGTGAAAAAATATGATGTAAATGTTATATTTCCTTTCTATAATACAATATGACAATGTGCATGTGTTTCAGGTTGTGTTGGAGACAGACCGGCAGACTCTGTCCTTCAGTGTTTTGCATGTTGAGGATCTGGAGGCCATGGTGTGTCACATGACTGCCTCTCTGAAGAGGATCTTCCCCGACTCTTCTCCAGGGTGGGCTGCTCGACCTGCTTCATGTCTCAATGCTCTGCCTGAACACACAGCAACACTAGCTCAAACTCTACATACACTGTTTACATTTGAGTCATCACACACATACCTTCTCTTTTCAGACCAGGCAGATACTGAAAAATACTACCATGTCAAAGAATCTCTACACACAGAATACATTGTATTTAATTTGTCTTGCTGATTTTTCATTGAGCGGATTCACCAGCTCAATGTTTCTTCTTTATGACAAAAAACCTGCATAACTAATGATGTTTAAGTAATAAGTGCTAAATAGCAAATGTTAGAATGCTAACATGCTACACTAATATGCTAAGAATAGTGAACATTGTAATCATTATATATGATTAACATAAACATGTTAGCATTGTCACTGAACGCATGTTAACGTGCTGATGTTAGCATTTAGCTCTTAGCCCCAGTGAGTCGCACTGCGCCTCACAGAGCTGCTAGCATGGCTGCAGACTCTTTGTCTTGTTTGATGATGTCAGTATTTAACAGGTGATCTCTTGTCCTCTAATCTTCAGAAAGCTGCTGAAGACGGTTCCTGCAGATCTGCAGCAGAGAATCCTCACACTGACGGATGAGATCGAGGAGCAGCTGAGCAGCCGGCCTGGCTCCTGTGGTGTGTTCCCTCCACAATACATACTGTATATCAAGGGTGTCCAAACTTTTTTGACCGAGGGCCACATACATAAAAATATACGAAGGGCTGGGCCACTTCCTAGAGGTACATGGCCTCATAAGTTAAGTTATAAGTCACCAAAAGCTGCCTAATGTAGGTAAATTATGCTTGATACTTGAATATGCTTTATGAAAACAGCCTACATCCCAGCTCTCCATAGGGTTTTATTTATTTTGTTGGCAGCTAATTCCTTTCAAGCTTGTTATGTAAATAAGTTATTGGGCTTTTTTCAGCAACTTAGGTTTTTTAGAAATAGTTTTCAACTTTAATTGACTGTATTTGAAACATTTGGCGTATTGACTCATGAATACTACTGTGTAATATATGTTTGCATATATATTTGAGAAGCACAATATAAGACAAGCACAAGTTTCATTTGTGGGCCATATTTCATTATACCCTTTGAATTTGCTGAGGCCCGCGAGCCGCATTTGGCCCCTGGGCCGTAGTTTGGACACCCTTGCTGTACATCACTGTGAGAGGCTGGAGGTGATAGGGCCAGCTACTGGAGTCCGACCAGCTACCATCACCTGGGCAGTTTAGGTTTACATATGTATCTAGTAGAATTGATCTTTTAATTATCATCTAATGTAAACCCATAATCAGAATCAGAATACCTTTCATCCCACAAAGGAGACAATTCCATTGTTACAGCAAAAGTAAAGAGCTAAAAATAGCTTAATATTAATTTAGAGGCATGCATAAAATATTAAAAATAATACAACAAATATTACAATTTACAAACACATCCAGTACCAGTAACAATATTTTTAAAAGTGCAACATGTATGAAGTAGTGTGATAGCAGCCAGATGAAGGTGGAATCATATGATGATCATACATATAATACAGGGAACTCCTTTGTGTGCAGATAGATAGTGTTGTCTGTGTTCCTCAGGAGGATTCTCTGATACCTACGCTGCTCTGTGTGACTTCAACGAGATGTCGTTCAGAGAGGAGATCCAGTGGGTGAGTCAACTGTTCTTCAGCATGATAGGACACGGACCACACTTTCTAAGGATCTATTTTGTCCTAATCTACTAGCCAATTGACGATAAACTAATGTTAGCATTGGTGTGGCTAACTGTTTTGGCAGGATATTGACAACATCTACTACATGAACAACTGGAGAGAGTTCAACCTGCAGGACTTCAGCCACTTAGACAGCAGGTGAGAAACAGTCTGAATACTGTCTGAACTCACCTGTGTTAACACTCCTCTCCTGTGCCAAACTTATTTGTGTTTTCTAAGCATTTTTATATTCCTGTATTTTACTTGCGTAGGGCGGACTAGCAAAGTAAGACTTTCATTGTACGGTGTACTGTTTACTGTGTACGACAATAAATATCTTGAATCTTTCATCTCCTCGCCTCTCCTCTCTTCTCTTCTCCTTTCCTTTCCCCTCCTCTCCTCTCCTCAGAGACTTGGCATTAGCAGTAGCAGCTCTGTCTTTCAACCAGTGGTTTACCAAGATCTACAGCAAGGAGCTCAAACTGGTAAATTATCTTAATGTTTGTGTCTGCAAATTCCACAATACCATTTCAGATAAAATGCTTGCAACATTCAGAGAATCTGGCTCTCCTTCTTACAAACGTTTTCAAGGGCTAAATCGAGGCAATTCGATGCTGTCTGATCTGACCTTTAAGTAATACTTTCCAAGACCTGATACACTGTAAGAGACGGGGGTCAAAACCAAGGTCCTTGTCCTGTTTGAAAACATACTTCTAAAGTCAAGCTGAAGCCAAAATGACACTACATTAAATCCATTTGGTTGCTCTACAACATAAATACATCAGTAAATACCCCACTGGTGAACATCTGATGCTTTGACATGAAAAATAAGTCTAAACATTATCAAGCCAAACATTAGCCGCCTTTAGCTTAGCTGTGTTGACAGGAAGTCATGTGACCATCATGTGTTCGTTGGTAGCACTGGAATGTTAGCTATTTACTTTTGGCAATTTCAATTGACAATCAACTATTATAAAAGTGTTGATGTGTTGAGATTGTCCCTTGAACAACATGTGTAACAATCATAAATGCATGTTTGCCCAAGAGATTTTTTTCTGTGATATTCCAAATTCCAATGGCTGAAACGTGTTGATACCAGACTGTAGAGTTTTGGCCTGCCTCTCTCTCTGTCCCTTCAGTCAGTGGACATCCAGCAGCAGCTAACCTTCCTGCTGTCCAGATCCCCCAGTCTGGAGGAGCTCTCACTGGAGGCCAGCGGACTCAAAATGTGGGTTTGTGTGTGTGTGTGTGTGTGTGTGTGTGTGTGTGTGTGTGTGTGTGTGTGTGTGTGTGTGTGTGTGTGTGTGTGTGTGTGTTTTGTTGTAGCACAGTGCAGGACTAGACTGTACCTTTAAGATGTGACTGTGTGGGCCTCTCCACCTGGTACTCTGGTTCATGTACATTGCTAA